TGCCACAAATGAATAGACAAAAAAAGACATAGGACTATCAGGGCTGTGTTGATATGCATTTTCAAGGCTGAGTTAGCAGATTTTTATTCAGTAAGGGAATCAAGGATTAACAGGAAAAGACAAAAAAAAGGACTTGAGGATGATCAGACCAGCCATGATCTCATTGAATGACGGTGAAGACTCAATGTGTTGACGGCCTATGTCTGTTCCTATAACTTGCAGTCTTTTCCAGGGATGGCTGCACACAGGAGTTATTGCTACAACCAGGACTGAACATGCCAGCTGAAAGTGCAGCATCACTGCTGATTAGAAGACCTGGTCCATTATTTCAGATATATTCTGCAATCCTAGATACATACAATCCAACCTGTGAGAAAGGAAGGATCTGTGTTGAAAGACAGGATCTGTGTTGAAAGACAGAGAAACTTATTTTTTGGTCAAGAAATATATCATTACAGACAAGAAATCTTCAAATGAATTATATCTGGTAAATTTAAGACTATGGTTGTAAGCATTTATGTGGTTAGTATTTCGTTTTTTTTATTCAAGAAAAACTGAAGGTTAACAATATTAATTTAAAGGAAGGAGACTGAATGACTTAAGTATCCTTCCCAGTACAGTGCAAACATGGATCAGTGACGTCTCTGCAACAAAGTGCAATGTGTTTGCACTGCTCACTGTTTCCAGTAGTTTACTGACGTTTCACAAAGACTGTATGTACTGTGACCTCCAATCCTTAATGCTTGTTCCAGCCTAGCCCAACATTTCTCATCTTAACTCAGAAAGGCATCTCATAATGAAGCAGGATAGATTTCTTTTACTTCACAGATGTCTTGTAATCAACATCTTTGTGGTCGCTTAATCAGTGTCATTTACTACTTAGTTAGAAGGTTGCATTGGGCCCAGTAAGACTGCCTCAAAGGCATTTACTGCGAGAATACTGTAGCCGGCATGCAAAAGAAATTCTCATCTCAAATAATGAGCCTCATTTAAATTGAGGTCCAGAGGTGAAAGGTCATGATTTGATTTATTCATCTCAACTTGCGCTGTTTTTAATTAAACTGCCCATAAACCCTCAGGGTCTTGACTCTAAATTTGGGGAAGACCACTATTAGCAAAATGTTTAAACTTGCAGATTCCATCAACCAGGCACAGGAAATAATGAGCGCAGTCTTTTCTGTAAAGAAAACTGACGAGGATCAAATTCTTGAGATGGAAGGAGGCGAATTTTCAGGAGTTTGCTAAGTTTAACTCTGGGATGAGGGTTCTTCTGCAGAACATTTTACTATTATTACTGATCCATCCAATAAGTATATCAACTGGACATGTGTATCAATGCTGTTTGTTGGGCTTTTCTTGGGTGGATGCCTCTTTTGTTTCTATAAGTGAGCAGAATTCAAGCAATTTACTGTGTGACTTTGACAGGTTTCAAAATACATCATGAGCCATTAAATAAAATTTAAATTTTATGATGTCATCTAACTTTAGGTACTGGTATAATAATTGTAAATATAGACAACCGATATTCAACTTCTATCATCTGATGCCTGAGCCGTTCATCGACTAAAATAGTTTTTAACAAGACAAATACTGACATAAAATGCTGCAATGATCATCTGACCACAGATTGGTCAAATGGAATACATGAAACCAGCAGCACTGAAATGACAATTTAAAGACACTGTAACGACCAGATGGCCATGAAGAGTAACCATACTTATTGTGTGTGTGTGTGTGCGCGCGCGCGTGTCCTTTATAAAGCTTTTTTTTTTAAAAAAAAGAAATGGTAAACACTGACAGACTCTGAAGGTGACAGCTATAGTCTCCTGACTGGAACTAGGCAGGACCTTCCAGAACATTCTACAAGTCAAAGCCAACCAGTCCAGTAACACATCCTTCAACTCCTGGAGATTTGGTCTCCTACCTATTGCAACTATAAGCTGCCTACTGATGTCCTGCCATCCACGATGATCATGATACAAATGAATTGCAAATTAATACTAAGAATGAAATGCATTCTATTGGTCATTGAGATGGTCCTACAGTATCTCCTTACCCTACATCAATATTGTTATAAGGACAAAAGTATTTAATTTCTCTAAATAGTTTGTAGAAACTCCTGCATCACATGACTGGAACCTGGGTTTGTTGAAAAGTTTAAGCACAGAAACATGTCATCTGACTTTAAATCACAAGAGTTGCTCTTGGCCTTAGTAGCGAAGCCTGCTCTCCAAATTTCACTCTCAAAAGTCTGATCTCTACAAATAATCAATTTGCCTCCAAATATGACTAATTCTCTGAGCATTAGAAATAATACTACACCTACAATTGGCAATTATCTGCATACCAGCTCCCACAGGAAAAGAACATAGAAGATATGGTTAGTAAGTTTGCAGATGATAACAAAATTGGAGGTGTAGTGGACAGCGAAAAAGGTTACCTCAGAGTACAACAGGATCTTGATCAGACGGGCCAATAGGCCGAGTAGGCAGATGGAGTTTAATTTAGATAAATGTAAAGTGCTGCATTTTGGAAAGGCAAATCAGGGCAGGTCTTATACACTCCATGGTAAGGTCCTGGCAAGTGTTGCTGAACAAAGAAGCCTTGGTGTGTAGGTTCAAAGTTCCTTGAAAGTGGAGTCGCAGGCAGACAGGTAGTGAAGAAGGCATTTAGTATGCTATCCTTTATTGGGCAGTGCATTGAATATGAGAGTTGGGAGGTCATGTTGTGGCTGTACAGGACATTGGTTAGGCTACTACTGGGATACTGCGCTCAATTCTGGTCTCCCTTCTATAGGAAGGATGTTGTAAAACTTGAAAGGGTTCAGAAAAGATTTACAAGGATGGTACCAGAGTTGGAGGGTTTGAGCTATAGGGAGAGGCTGAATAAACTATAGGAGACTGAGGGGTGACCTTATAGAGGTTTATAAAATCATGAGGGGCATGGATAGAGTAAATAGGCAAGATCTTTCCCCCAGGGTGGGGAAGTCCAAAACTAGAGGGCATAGGTTTAAAGTGAGAGGGGAAAGATTTAAAAGGGAATTAAAGAGCAACATTTTCACACAGAGGGTGGCATATGTATGGAATAAGCTGCCAGAGGAAGTGGTGGAGGCAGGTACAAATATAACATTTAAAAGGCATCTTGATGTGTGTATGAATAGGAAGGGTTTAGAGGGATATGGGCCAAATGCTGGTAAATGGGACTAGATTTATTTAGGATATCTGGTCGACGTGGATGAATGGGGCTGAAGGGTCTGTTTCCATACTGCATAACTCTATGACTCTCACTGCTACAAGATCAGCCAACTGACAGGCTGGACAGTGACTCACTGAACTCCTAACTCACGTGAACTAATACCAAATTTTTTTTGGGAAATTCATAATTGTAACTGCTTTCCTTTCCACCTGGGGTGCCTGTATTTGTGAACAAAGTAGCAAAGCAATTCCCCTGTGTTTTGAATGCTTTGTTTAAAAAGTCTTACCTCTGATTATATCTTAAGGGATTTTGCTGAGAGTTTATTTCTAAGATTGAAACTGAAAATAAAATGGTTTTGGGAAGACTTAACTCAGTAAGGCATGGGAGTAAAACTGAAAAGGAATAAACGTCACTGTCTAAGGCTTAAAGGGGAAAAAGCAATCATAATTTTTTCTATTCACTCTTTGTCAATTACAACATTGAAAGCAGGTAACTCAGTCAGCTTCAAGTGATTCACATCCCCTGTCTAATTCACACTTGTGTGATAAGTTGCATATATATAAGACATCAATTGTTCAACTTAAAAAAAACAATGAAGGCAGGCTCAGGAATATACAAAAAGATCCAACTTAAATTGCTATATTAGAAATAGCAAGGCACATGGATGCATAACACCAGAACCCAGAAGGTTGGCTCGCTCCCTCGTTCTCTCTCCCTCCCTGATTAGCTCAACATCTTGGAATTCCCATTCACTGTGAACTCAAAATATTTATAGATTCTGCTACTGCTGCTGTACAAGTCAACAATTAATCAACTGTAGTTTCAGGTTTAAAATCTAACAACTCAGTCTAGTGCGTAGCCTTATTTCTCCCTGTCTGTGTAAGACACTCTCCCTTTTAAGCTTATTATCCATGTTTGTGTGTGCGTCTGATGTTACGTTTTTCATTTTTTTTTGTCAATGTTTCTGGCTAATAAAATTCCTCTTCCTTTCACTAAGGAAAACCTTGGTAATTGGTTCTTTCATTTTCTAGTGAACTACATTTTACTTGAAATGTAATATCAACGTGCTAAAAAAATTGCAACCAATTATGAAGAGATTAAAAAGAGCATAACTAAATCCCCTATCCTACTCCTGGGTATTTATTATTCTATAAAAATAAACCACACAGACTCTTGATTAGACAGAAAGGAAACCTTGAATTTATACAGCAACATGGGGCGGCCAGGTAGCTGAGTGGTTAACACTGCTGCCTCACAGCGCCAGGGACCCAGGTTTGACTCCATCCTCAGGCGACTGTCTCTGTAGAGTTTGCGCATTCTCCCCATGTCTGCATCAGTTTCCGCCAGGTGCTCCAGTTTTTTCCTACAGTCCAAAGATGTGCAGGTCAGGTGGATTAGCCATGCGAGTGTCCAGAGTGTCTAGGAATGTGCAGGCTAGGTGGATTAGCCATGGGAAATGCTGGATTAGAGTGATAGGGTATGGATGTAGATCTGGGTGGGATGCTCTTCGGAGGTTCGATGTTGACTTGATGGGCTGAATGGCCTGCTTCCACACTGTAGGGATTCTATGATACTATGATTTAGAGTGTCAAGGTGTCTTAAGGTACTTTATAACCAATTGCATATTTTTGAATAGTAATATACAGTTCCAGAATAGGAAAGCGGCAGGCAACTTGTACATAGCAAACTCCTGAACCATGATAATGACCACCTAATCTGTTTCTGCAGCCCAGTTACCAACCATTGCCTGACACGAGATATTTTCTTTATAATTTTATTTAAATATTTTACATTAAATACTCCACCTGATCATCTTGGTAACTGTTGGTGTCTGGGATTTCATCCGATTCAAAGATCTGCTTTGGTAAACCCTTCTGCCTTTCCTTCTGTTTGTCAAGTGTATTAGGATTGAATCCTGTGCTGAGTTTGTGGTACCTGATTACATGAATTTTAAAAACATTATAACCCAGTTGAGCTTCACTAAACAATTAAAATGAACTTTGGTAGAAAATATATAAAACTGATAACTTACTTGCGATTCACGATCGCCCAATCCTCAGTATAAGTTTTTACACAGTCTCTGACATGGGGATCCACATCACTGAAAATAAAGATTTAAATATCATTAATTATACAAATTATATGGCAAATAATGTGGACATAGTGGTCAAAGTGATTTTCACAAGGTATGCACTACTTTGAAATGATTTCATTGATGATATAAGATTGTAATATGACCAGTTCCTTTAAAATATTACCAGTTTGTGGAAAGCGGAAAGTGGAAAGAAAATTCTCCCATAACCCGAGAATATACAGTGTGTGCTCAGTTTTGGGGAACCCACTTTAAGAAGGATGCTGAAGCCACGGACAGGGAGATAAGAAATGTGGACGGGCCCAGGGATAAGATGTTTTAGCAAGAAAGACAGAAAAGAGAAGGAAGAATCCCCTTCATTGCAGCAGAAAAGGGTTTAAAAAAAAGGCAACGTGTTAAATGTGTTAAAATTGTAAAGGTGTTTTTTAATCAGATAAATAGAGAACAAACATTTCCATTGAGCCACAAGACAGGTCATAAAATTTTAGGTCAGCAACAATAAAGTGACAGGAATTAATTTTTCAACAGAGCATAAATAAAAAAATCTGAAACTTCCCTTTCCAACAGGAGTCAGCCCTCAGACTGTCCACATAAAACTGTCAAATCAAGATGACTTTGCACTGTTAGCATATGCATTGTGAACTAGGCGAATAGGCTTTTTTCTTTTAACTTCAGCTACCACATAGTAATGACATTCATCTCATTGCCTGGGTTCAAACCCCAAGTTCTAATACTAAAAGGGCAGTGTGCTGACTTACCTCACCACAAGTTTCACATGTTATAAGTGACTTCATGAATATATTTCATCCTGATGTGCTTCTTACACATCACTTATTATTTTTTTTCTTCAAATATTTAGTCTCTCCATTTTGTAAAGCTAGTTTGGATTTTGCTTCTATCCCTATTTCTGGTAGTACACTTCAGGTTCAGGAATAATCCAAATAGACCAAATATACATTAGTTCCCTTCCATAGATTAATAATATTCACCTGACTACAAAAAAAGCATTCAATACAATTTCAAGAATTTACATACTAAAAAACTAGTTTAGACATATTTTTGTAATTCAAGATATGTGATATATATATCTCACTTGTTTTAGAATTTGGATTTTGAACTAGTAGTATGTGGGCATGGTCTGTGTGTATGAGGGGGTTTAATGATTAACTTGTTGGTCTTTATACAGTCATTCTTTTTTAATCAATATGAGAGAGAGAGAGACAAATGATAAATGGAATGATAATGGGAATTTGTTAGCAATACGAGACATTTGTGCCCAGTATAAACAGAACTTTGAAAGATGACAATCAGTTTTCACAGAGCTGCCACCTACTTCGTTTCAAACTCTTCACCAAACTACCTTGTCCTGGGGATATGGCACTACATAATAGTAGCGTGTTGCCTCTCCACTGTCCCCATTAAACACTCATTGGACAGGTACAGCATGGGGTTAGACACAGGGTAAAGCTCCGTCTCACTATTTTAAACTGAAAATAAATCCCCTTCTACGTTATCCCCATCAAACACTCCCAGGTCAGGGACAGTACAGGGTTATATACAAAGGTCAGCTCCCTCTGCAATATCTCCAACAAACAGTCCCAGGACAGGGACAGCACGTAGTTAGATACAGAGTAAAGAATTCTCCACGCTGTCCCATCCAACACTCCCAGGACAGGTACAGCATGTGATTAGATACAGACTAACCCTCCTTTTTTTAAAAAGCAGAAAGTAAACCTTCCTCTGCACTGATCCCATCATCCACTCCCAGCACAGAGACAGCACAGGGTTCGATACAAGGTAAAGTTTCGTCTACATTTCCAGATCGCAGGGTGATGGCAGAAATGTCACAATTGTAAAAGGAGGGACAGAGAGGTGGAAGAAAATTGTTCTCAGTAATTAAGAGGTGTAAAACAAGAGGCCAGAGATACAAGATTAAATGGAAGAGATTTAGAACAGAGTGTAGGAGAAATTCTTCCTACAGTTAATCGGTGGAATTTACATGAAGGGAAGAGACATAGACAGAAATAGTTAACATTGGAGACAATTTGGATGTAGGAGAAAGTGGTGAAATGATATGGTGGATAAGGTGTTTGAAGCTGATTGGACAGCCTGTTTGTGAGAAAGTTAAACATTGACTCAGGCTGGTTGGGCTAAACAGTCTGCTTTCTATTTTGCATACGCCACATGTTTTTACAAAGTTATTGAATGATTCTCCTCACGGGTAACTCATGTAGAGAATAAATTGTGGAGAATAACAGGTCCTGTTGTAATTTTCTTCCCAGAAAGTTCCAAGATGGGCCTCAGAATGCTGTGTGTGTTGTGTGTTGTGTGTTACAAGTATTGTGTTTCAGGTGCACTCTGAGAAGGACAGATATATGATTAACCTGAATATCAAACATGTCTCACCTGAGAAGCTGACTGTAAAGATTGTTGATGACTTTGGAAAGATTCATGGAAAACACAAGGGTGGTGGAATTCAAAACCAGAGGGCATACTTTTAAGGTGAGAGGAGAAAGATTTAAAAGGGACCTGTGCGGCAACTTTTTCACACAGAGGGTGATTCATATGTGGAACGAATTGCCAGACGAAGTGGTAGATGCAGATACAGTTACAATATTTGGACAGTCACATGAATAGGAAAAGTTTAGAGGTATATGGGCCGAACGCAGGCAACCTGGACTAGTTTCATTTGGGAACATGGTCGGTGTGGACTAGTTGGACCAAAAAGTCTGTTTTCATGCTGTATGGCTCTATGACATCCTGTGATCATAAAAGGCATTGTAGAAATGCAAGTCCTTCGATCTTTTCTAGATTATTCAAGTATAATTTGGATACACAAATCAACTCATACTTTCTCAAATGCTCAATCACTTTCTCCAACTTTTCCACAATTTATGTTAAACTTGCAAATCTATAGTTACCTTGTTTCTCTCTTCCTCTAACTGACGGCACAAACCGGAACATTTACAATCTCCATTTACAATTTCTTCGAATAACTAGCCACACTATATCTGATAAGACACAGTCTTGGATTTATCTGCCTCTTTTCTTCCAATTTTGTGATCGGCCAGTATATTCTTAAGATTAGCATTAAATTAGCAAAAATATTCAGCTCGACAAAGTAAATAACTTTTATTTCAGCTTTCTTTTCTAATTAAGTTAGAGAAATAAAAAAAAACTGTGGAATACTGAAATATAAACAGGAAATTTTAAAAATGCATAAACAGATGTATCTGTATCAGCATCAGCAGCATGTATCATTTCAAATGGAACGCTTCAAACAATCAACTTTCTATTTCCTGGTAGGCTACCATGCAGTTATAACCTTATTGTTATAATTTTTCATCTCACATGTAATACTACACTTACAATCTTAAGATTACACTTGTTTTGGTTGCATCATTGGGAGCTATTCATCTTACCTTTCTTCAGGGACAGCTTGCACCAGTGTTCGGCACTCCCTGGGGCTGTAGATAACTTCAATATCATCTGGAGGGAACTCCAGTAAGTCCCTCAAGGGACCTGGATCCATTATTGGGGGGTGCATTAACACATAATCCTCAAAGTCCACTGGATCAACTGCCTCAGTTAGAGGAACCTAGAAATTACAAATTCAGAATTTATAATCTGCCATTTGTCCATTTATTCCATTAACACAGCACTTAGACAAACAGCTGTGGCAGTCAACTGGTTGGAGACAAAACATTTGTAGACGTAAAAAGGATATTTCCTTATGTGGGACTATCTAGAATGAGACGTTATTGTCTTAGGACAAGGGGTAGCAGATTTGAAACAAAGATGAGAAGTTGTTCTCATTAACCTACAGAATTGACTATCCCAGATTGCATTGAATGCTGGGCCATTGAGTCAATTTAAGGGAGAGATAGTTTTTTTTAAAATAAGAGTTGAAGGGTTAGGGAGAGCAGGTAGGAAAGTGGACTTGAGGCTAAGATGAGATCAGCCATGATCATATCAAATGGCACAGCAACCTCAAGGAGCTGAATTGCCTACTCCTGCTCCTAGTTCTTATGTTCTTATTAAACATAATCACCTGAACGATGGGATTCTGGCTGTGAAAGGAATGTGTTTAGACATAATCACATTAGGTGACTGGAATACATAGCCATTACTTTATTTGGATCACTGGGCAGTTGGAGAGAGCAGGTAATGTGACAAATCCAGCCTTCGTGTTTCTACCAATGTGTAGAACTGGATGAGGAATTGAGAAGCTCTCTCACACACACACACACACACACACACTCCAAGCTGAACTCTGCTTACTGATCTTGACAATACAAATGCTGCAGACAGATTTAAAAATAACTCAACCCAAACACTGTAACTCGAAAAGACCAGAGAAACCAGTTGTCTACAGCTTTAAACTGACTCGACACCAAAAGCAGTTGGAGCACCAAATGAACATAGAACATTACAGCGCAGTACAGGCCCTTCGGCCCTCGATGTTGCGCCGACCTGTGAAAACCAATCTGAAGCCCATCTAACCTAAACTATTCCATTATCATCCATATGTTTATCCATATTCCATGAGAATGACAAAACCACTGAATTCAACCTGAGGTCTGCCAAGTCACCAAGTTTATGGGTAATAAACACTTCTAATTTTACCAGACTCTAACTTATGTAATCCATCCTTCCAACTCTGTATTCAGCATGTAAACTTTGATTGTGTGCATGTGAAAGTCAGGGCATTTTTAAATCATTTTACTTAGACCAGGTTAAATTCAATAAAACAATCCTCTTCTCTTTTGTAAAAACACTCAAGAAAACCTGTCTAATCATGTCTTTTATTGTGACAGCACATAAACCGTTAAACACCCACAGAATTGACAAGCATATTCATTGGTTTTTTTTAAATTCTGCTGTGGTCAAATGCAGAGCAGAAAAAGAGGGGAGCCCTAATCAACCCCGCATCACTTGTTCATTACAAAAAAGAAGCAGAGATGTAGACAGATTTTGGAAGGGAATTTCAGAGCTGAGAATTTCGGGAGGTGATTGGACAGCTGTCAATGGTGGAACAATTAAAATCAGGGTTGTGCAGAAGTTTAGAGTTTGAGGAGTGCAGAGGACTGAAGATTGTGGAGGAAAACCCAAGGAATAGGAAGGCAAAACAATGTGTGGGATTTAAAATCAAGAATGAGCATTTTGGAATGAAGCATTGATGGATGGAAGCCAGCATTAGTCAGCGAGCTCAGGGGTGAGAGATGCACAAAACCCGGTGAGAGATACGACGTGACCAATAGAATTTTGTATTATATTAAATTTCCACAGCGCTCAAAGTAAAAGCTCGGCATTAATATAGTTGAGTCTAAATCATAGAAACCCTACAGTGTGGAAACAGGCCCTTCGGCCCAACAAGTCCACACCAACCCTTGGAGCATCCCACCCAGACCCAGACCCATCTCCCTATAACCCACCTAATTTACACATCCCTGAGCACTACAGGCAATTTACCATGGCCAATCTATTTAACCTGCACATCTTTGGACTGTGGGAGGAAACCGGAGCACCCGGCGGAAACCCACGCAGACACGGGGAGAATGTGCAAATTCCACACAGACAGACGACCAAGAGTGGAATTGAACCTGGGTCCCTGGCGCTGTGAGGCAGCAGTGCTGACCACTGAGCCACCGTGAGTCAAGAGACAACAAATTTATAGGCAGTAGTAATAAATAGGATGAGGTAATGACTGTAACTATAACTATAACGTGTTTGGGTGGAAACAAGCAATCTTGATGACTAAAATGGTATGGGGTTATACAACCCTTTTCCTTCTGCAATTTAACAGGGTTATAAACTAAAGGGATTACGCAGTATTTTGAAATTGGGCCTAAATCCAAGGGAAACAATGAATAATAAAGACACGATTCATTTTGGTTTTTTTGTTTTAAAACGAGAATGGGAGTTTTAACATCAAGGCTTTGTTGGGCTGGCAGCCAATGTAAGTCAATGTGCTCAAAGGTGATAAATGAACAGAACTTGGTGCAGGTTAATTAAGCCAAGGTGAAGAATTCAAGCTACAAAAGAGAAAAGATGTTCAACTTTCAAGAAGAAAATAAATCCAATCATTAGAAAATAAAAGTCTCTTGAAACAAGGTATTCTATACAAATTTCAGACATAATATGTGCAATTGTATACACATGGTTGATTATTTTACTAAATAGTGACCACTTTTTATTGTGTTCCACCTCAACTGGGTCATACATCAAGAAAAAGTGCATGAAACAAATAAGTTCAGTGATTTGGTTGATTTATTCTTCATCTTTTTTTTCACTAAATTGCTTGTTTAGGAAATGAAATGACTGATATGATCTCATGTGCATGCTCATGTGCTGCTTTGGTTTCTTACACTTAAACCTATCAAACATTTGAATAAGTCAGAATTCCTCAATGAACAGTTATTATTTAAGCCAAACAGAAAAGTGTGATTTTGATATTTTCACTGTTAAAGAAGCGCATATATCTAGATGTCACTGAGCACATGTCTGCATGGGTTTGCGCTGGGTGCTTCAGTTTCCTCCCACAGTCCAAAGATGATGTGCAAGTTAGGTGGATTGGCTAAATTGCTAAATTCATGTGTAGGTTAAGTGCATTAGCCATGGGAAGTGTAGGGTTACAGGGAAAGGGTAGGGGGATGGGTCTGGTGGGGTGGGATGCTCTTTGGAGGGTCGATGTAGACTTACTGGTTGGGACAAATGGCCTGTTTCCATACTGTAGGGATTGTATGGAAGATTAACACTATATGCAAAATATTGCTCAATTCTAATGCAAGTTCATATATTAAGACATGAAATACAGGGTTAACATTAACAGGATTAACATTATAAAAAATTAACTGTATTAATGCAATACCAGTATTTATTTCCGCCCACAGAGTACAAGTTCACAAGGCAAGGGAGGCAACTGAAACATCCAGCAGAAACCCACGCAGATTAAGGGAGAACATGCAAACTCCACACAGACAGTTGCCCAAGGGTGGAATCGAACCCACGTCTCTGGCATTGTGAGGCACCAGTGCTAACCACTGAGCGATCAAAGGGTCAAGAGAAATCTTTTGCTTTACCAGGAAATCACCAGTAGTTTCTAAAGCATCATTCAGATTCAATATAATGCATGATATTCTATTCTCAGTCTCACAAATTGTGCAGACTCAAGCTGATTTAGCAAACAAAAAAGTCCCGAGAGTGTACGAAGATAAAAAAATCCATGTCAAGCTCAGTGAAACTTTGCCAACTGCTTAAAAGTTATAGAGGGAAACAAATAAATTCAGAAAATTTATAAACATGTAACCCAATTCATAGCCAGCTTCTAGCAAAGCTAAATCCAAGGTTAAATGAATGGAATTCATTGGTCCAGCTTGATTAAAATCCTAAAATTAGTGAGGTCTTTATGTTCTTTCTCACAGATGTGCAAACAGGAAATAATATGTCCACATATAAATCTTCCCTTCAAGAAATTAAGGATGTGATACTCCATTCTGTTAATGGTTCAACGATTTTAGCCAGCATGTAAGGAATCACACATGTCAGCCAAGGCAATGCTTAGTGTAGTGGTGCAACTAGACTGTAGTCTTGGGTGTGATGGAAATTAAAGAAGGAAAATAAAATTTGGCAATAGTTCCCGCTCCCAATCATTGTTCGTGGCTCCTACTTGAATGTACATACTTGTACACTACATAAGCCAATTGCCAATCGACACTCATAGTTTCCTTTACAAGATAAAGAGCTGTCATTTAAGTGAGGGACTAAAACAAGGCCAGTGCCTATGCAACTGTAGGACAAGTCAGCATCTTCAGAAAAAGAAAAACACTAAGTTGGAAAAGGACAGTTCTTTTTATAACGAGTATTATATACTAAGAATAAATTAAATATTGTCATACCTTGACATCACAGAAGATACATATTTTCAAAATATAATAACTGTCAGGTCATGTTTATGAGCACAAGGGGTGTTTTATTAGGTGAATTAAGGTCTTCTGTTTATTAATTACAGTCTCTAAAGGTCTGCGGTTTAGCACACCTTTTTGTTATAGAGTCATAGAGGCATACAGCACAGAAACAGATTCTTTGGTCCAACTCATCCATGCCAACCAGGTTTACCAAACTAAACTAGTCCCACTTGCCTGCATTTGGCCCAAATCCCTCAAAACCTTTCCTATTCATGCATCTGTCCAAATTTCTCTTAAATGTTGTAACTGTATCTGCATTTACCACTTCCTCTGGCAGTTCATTCCACATATGAACCACCCTCTGTGTGAAAACGTTACTCCTTAGGTCCCTCTTAAATCTTTCTCCTCTCACACTAAAAATATGCCCCCTAGTTTTGAACTCCCCCCACCCTAGGGAAAAAGATCTTTGCTATTCACCCTATATATGCACTTCATGAGTTTATAAACACCTATAAGGTCATCCTTAAATCTCCTATGCTCCAGTGAAAGAAGTCCCAGCCTATCCAGCCTCCCTCTCCTTATAACTCAAACGCTGGAGTCCCAGCAACGTCCTGGTAAATCTTTTCTGAACCTTTTCCAATTTAATAATATCCTTCCTAGAGCAGGGCAATCTGCACCATCCACAGTACTC